TTTCACTTATTTTGTTTATGGGTAGCTGAACAGGATGTTCCTGACCCTTGGCCTAGTCCTGAATACAACCACGTGGAACAGGTTAAATCTAGTTCGAGTTCTTTGTTAGTTTTAAGGTCTTCATATGAATAATCCTGTCGTCAATTAGAATGCAAATATTGTCATTAATGGGTGCTTTGTATGTTTTTACACTTCAATTTAAACAACATTATGATATTTCATTGGATGTTGCGGTGCCCAATGGAAATTTAGATCCATTTGAAGCAGGTATATAAAGGTGAAAATTTTGTTGTTACACCAATATACCTGAACAGGTAAAAAGATCGTCTGTTTCTAACAGTTTTAGCCTCGATGTCACCACCGCAACCAATCATGCAGAAACCAATTGTATTTGAAAAGGTGGGTAACATTTGCGTTTGTTTTGGACAAGTTTGGCGATCTGTTCGTGTCTTTGCGAACATTGGCGACAACAGTGACCACCAAACGATGTATGACGTTTCTAACACGTTTTGACGACCTAACACACTCTGGACCAATCTTCCGTCGTCGTGGCAAGCGAGTCTTTGTGATACTTTATTAATGTCCATACCTTATTGACTCTTACCAACCAATAGTTCTTTTTGAAAATAATGTACGATTCAGCAAGATTGGGTTTCGTTGTCGATACTCAACACAAAGATCAACTTTCAGTTTTGATTTTCTAAGAACGCACGCTGCTGAAGGCAACTGGTAACAATTGCAATTTTTTTAGTCTTCGGTACAACGATTGATAAGATGAGATATTCCCAGATTTAAATGCAAGAAGTCGTTCAAATCCAGTCGCGTCTAGATTCTACCAATTGCAAGGCCGGAATAAACCCTCGAGTTACAGAGCTGGCTGAACTCGCGCCAATGCTGCAACAGTATGCTGTAGGATTTACAGAGAAACCCACTAGGCAATTACACTACCAACATCATTTAAAAAAAAATCTTTTCTGTTTTAGGATGAAGTTCCCAGGAGTAGATCAACCAAGAAGATCTGTATCATTGCCTCTACTGTTATCTTGGTAGTTGTTATTGCAGCAGCTACTACATTTGGTGCTATAGCTTACAACAATCACTTATTCTACAAAGAGGTAAGACCACATTATTCAAGACTCCCAGTTTATTGAGCTGTACACCGTTACGGAAGAGAAATGGGACTATTTTTTGCACCAAAGAAATATAACACAGTTGATATAGGCGAATATTAAAAGGAAAAGCAGGCTTATAGCTTAATTTCATAGTTTGAGGCGATATGAAATGATGGCGAAATGATTTCGAAACAATTGAAGGTATTCTCTTTGAAGGAGTCCACAACTAAACAACTTTTACTCCCCGTTTTGATATATTATGGAAGAGATTTTGAATAACGGTGTACGGTGTAGCTGAGCTATTCGTAATATACGTAAGCTTAATTTTTACATCCACACACACAATTTAATGAAACCTAACAAATTTTTTTTAATTCTAGAAATACGACACCAAAGCCAATGTTGATGGTATCGAGCTTCCTGAACATATTCGTGTTGACTATAAAAATGAAATTATCTATGTAACCAATGAAAAGAATGGACCAGTTGATGCTCTGAATGCCCTCCACAATTATGAAAGAGTAAGTATTATTTTTATAAATGGATCATAATAGCGATTGGAGGAAATATAAGTTAGTCGACATAGGCGAATATTTAAAGGAAAAGCAGGCTTATTGTTTAATTTCATAGTTTGAGGCGATGTGAAATGATGGCGAAATGATTTCGAAACATTTGAATATTCTCTTTGAAGTCCACTACTAAACAACTTTTACTCTCCATTTTGACATACTATGGATGAGTATTTTTATCAGCTCAATACATAAATGGATCAGAATAGCGATTGGGGGAATATTAATTCATTAAGTTTTTTGTTTGAAAAGAAACGGAACATCCTGGCTTAGAAAAGTGTTTGGGACCGCGAAACAGCGAAACTCTATGGATTTTTACCTATTTATTTTCAGAAATTGTTAGCTTTTCACGATTTGACTGCCAATAAATGTTTCATCGATGTTTTGGACGACACATTTGATGAAGGGTTGAAGAGATGGGCCTCCCATGCTGTAAGTATGATAAACA